AAATATTATACGCAATGTCACAATGATTATGTTTTTCCCACAAAATTAAGTATCTAACTTGTATATCTGATCCCATCAGGACATTTTCTTTTTGTATTCCATCCACAAAGAAAAATTAAATGTTAATTCCTCCTTTTACTGAAACTGTTGACTTTGTGTCTTGGTGAACTGCATGCAGGGAAAATTCTATTACCATAAATAACGGTAAGCCACACTACAGTTGAGCCAAAAGAATAAAGACTTCTTTTTTTATTTTATTTTATTTCATGATTCTGTCATTTTTTTGGTGTGGCTTTCTGGCCTTAAATATGTGCTCATAAACTTAATAAAAATAAAAACAAATTGATGTTTCAATTGTAAATGCATTTCCGGGGGCTTGTAGCATATTTGTCACTGTACTCACCCTGAACATGAATCCATTTCTCAGTGATAAAGCATAGCATAACTTACTATATTGCCATCAACTCCAGAGCAGTAGTACCTTTGGGAACAAGTTAGTTTCATTTTTGAGACTCAAATCCTCACGTTTCTCTCCAGGTTGGATTATACACATAGACCACATTCTAATGTTTCAACACTTGACTTGATGACTTTGAATTTGTTTCATTGGGATGGATTGTGTCTGCAGTGGTATGAAAGTCCTAGCCGCATAATTTGTTGATTTATCTCTAGTACTACTGTATGTTGTTGACCACTTCAGCTGAAAAGCCACCCAAACCATAAACTGAATAAAGAAGAACAAAATTCCTGCCAGCAGCCGACTAAAAGGGGAAAAAAGGTGAGGAAGGAAGAACAACATATAGACATTGCAATTCTTAAAAGTTACAGTATTCATAAGGATCTGCAATAAGTGAAAAAATCAGAAAGAAGGTCAACCAAAATTGTTTCTGCTGGTCTTCCTCTACAATACAACCAATAGAATAGCCCTGCTGAGAACTCTAAAGTCAGCTGGGAAGTTGCAGTGACAAACTGATACACATGCATGTGAAAAGGAACCCAGAAATTCAAAAGTGTGTGTGTGTGTGTGTGTGTGTGCGCGCGCGTGCGCGCACGCACTTTTATACTCTTAAGTACTTTTATTATTATTCTATGTGAAATAATTGGGCAAAAAAATCCTTCACATGCCAGTAATTGTGTTTTTATGTATATAGACCGCATTCATATTT